ACAAATTGCTGTTGCATTTCTTTATCGTTAAAAAACAGGCAGAGTTTTTAAATGATAAGAAAAACAACTTAACAAAAACTGAATGCATAGTTTTGCGTGATTTTTCCGAAAATTATGCTTTTGTTGTTCAAAACTCTGTTCAAGGTATTCACTGGAATAATAATCAGGCAACAATTCATACGTTTGCAATATACCACAGTCATGAAAATAAAAAACTACAAATAAAAAATTTCGTCTGCATATCTGACTGTTTACATCACAACACAACTACTATACATTTGTTCAAAAATACGATATCAAATTCATTAAAAAAATTAGTACGGATATTAAAAAAACTATTTAGTTTTCCGATGGATCGGATTCACAATATAAAAATAAAAAAAATTTTATTAATTTAACTCATCACAAAACGGACTTTGGTTTGGAAGCAGAATGACACTTTTTTCCAACGGCACACGGCAAAGGACCATGCAACGGCTTAGCTGGTACCTTAAAGAGGAATGCTGCAAGAGCTAGCCTTCAATGAATAAATAATCCCATCCAAACACCAAAGGATTTATTTAACTGGGCTAAGGAATGTTTACCACATATTGTGTGCCATTTCTCAACGTTAAAAGACTATGAAGTAAAAGAAAATAAGATTAAACACCGATTTAAGCTACATCAGTTAAAGGCACATTAAAATATCACTGCCTTATTCCAAATTCCAAAAAAGTATTAATGGCAAAAATATTTTCTTCTTCAGACATTACAGATTATGTATCAATAATGAAATGAGAATTAATAAAATCAATGTAAAAACCATAAAAAAAAATATTTTGTTTTTAGCTCCTTACAGTTTATTTTCTATAACATTTCTTACCTGTGCAGAGTATTTTTCCAACGGTAGCAAAATAACACTTCAACGAAAAAGGTAGGTGTGATTATGTGCTGCAGTTATCTAGGTAGTTCGACTAGTATGAAACTAATTAACTTTTTAATTCACCTATATAAGAAAAAAGTTTATTAAACGGTTTAATTATGTTAAAATTCACAATTTAAAAACAGAAATGATGCGGAACTAATTTAAAATGTTATGTTTTATGTATACATTTATTTTAGAAATAAAAAGTAAAAGTTTTTGTATCATTTTCCTTCGAAAATTGATTTCATGGTACTTTGGTGCGTATGAGTAACATGAAGGACACCTGATTAATTAATTTTTTTTAATTACTTCTAAAATGAATATCACGGCGGAAATATTTATTTTTGAAGAAGAATTTATATATTAATTTGAATCAAAAATAAAAAAAAAATTTGTGTGACATATTCCTTTTTTTTTTACTAAAAAATCGTGTGTATGTGTTTGGTGTGATATGAAGTATTAATAAATTTTTAAAAGTACTTCTGATTACAATATCGTCCTGAAACTTTTGAGTTTTATATAGAATTTTATTACTAATCGAAATCAAAAATATTATATAAGAATAAATGTTGTATATTCTTTGAAAATTCATTCAATGGCAATGTAGTCCGCATGTGCTTGATGTGTTTTGCGGGAGAAAAAAAAATATTAAAAAATTTTAAAAAATAACCGCATCCTAAAAATTTTTACTTAGTAGTAAAATTTAAAACTGAATCTAAATAAAATATAAAAAATGGAATCCTAGGGGATATATTTTAAGAAACATTTTTTATTGAAATTGAATAGTTAATATTAGTATTTAAATATAAACAAATTTAATTGTTTAAACAATTTTATAAAAGTTCAATCAATTATCTTTGAAACGCTGTAAATTTCAGGTTTCTATCTTTTATAGAACTTGAGATATAGCCATTTGAAAATGTATCTACTATGCCAATTCTCAAAACCCCATGGGTCCATATCTCCTAGGAAAAAAATCACAAAATTTTTTCACGAGATACGGGTCTTCTTATTTTATGAAAGGAGCTCATAAAAAAAATTTCAGCCAAATCGAAGATCATGATGTAATTTTTTGCCAAATTCCGTCCGGTTTGTAAAAGAATGACCCATATGCGCACTTTTTCCACATCGTGCGAAAAATCTTTTTAATGCTGCTAAGAAGGCGTCAGATGTCAAGTCGATAACTGCTTCTAAATGAATTGCTTTCTAAAATATTGCTATGTATGCTTTATATGATTTTTGCCCACGACCTCTATAACATCTCATTTGTATCAGTCCAGCATAGTCTATTCCTGTATGTTCGAATGGGTAGTTTTGTGTTACTCTATATTTTGGCAGGTTTCCCATTATTTACTTTGCGAAATTTTATTTAAAAATAATGCATTTCAGACAGTTACCGCATATTTTCTTAATTATTTTTTTAATATCTATTACCCAGTAGCGTCTTTTAAGGTTTGCCTCCATCACCAAGTTTCCTCCATGAAGTATTTTATTATGTGCTTGTTCTGTTATTAATTCCGTGTATTTGTCTCTAAACAGAATGATTGGATGCTTCTGGTTTTCAGTTAGTTCGCTGTTAGTTAGTCTTCCTCCGACTCTTAATATACCTTCTTCATCTCTAAATGGTGTTAATTGAATAATTTTACTTCCTCTGCTGATTTCTTTTCTTTCTTTAATTAATTTCAGTTCTGTTGAATAGTGTTTTTGTTGATGATATTTCATTAATATAGTTCTAGCCTCTTGTAATCCTTTCTTTGATAAGTATTCTGCTTGATTTTTGTTTCTTCTGAGTCGGCTTATGAATCTTAGTATATATGCTATGATTCGTTCCAACTTAGTTAGACTGGAGTTTATTTCTATAAATTATTCTATTATTTCGTTCTTTTGGCTTATAACTGTTGTCAGTATTTTCACTTCTTTTATTTTTTCAGGTTTTGGTTTTTTTTTGGTATTTGCTGGATTTTCTTGTGACTTTACATGTAGCCATTTTGTTTCTATTATCCATTTTTTTATATCTTCAACACTTGTTCTTATAAATTTTTCTTTATTTTTAATATTTTTAATCCAGCATAGGGTAATCATTGAGTCACTCCAACAGTATATCGTGACGTTACTATTCACTATTTGTGAAACTCGTCTCATTAGTTTTGCAAGTAAATGCGAACCACATAGCTCTAATTTTGGAATCGTCTTTTTTCTGTTAGTAATTTAAGAGATGAGCCAATTTTTACGTATATGACAGCCGCGTATGCTGCTTCTGATGCGTCGCCGAATCCGTTAAATTCCTAAGTTTTTGAATTTGTAGTTGCTATCCATCTTAGTATTTTTATTTCATCTATGTTTTGCATATTTTTTTTATATTTATCATATTTCTTTTGTAAATCATCATTGAGCTCATCATCCCAGTCCAATTTATTATCCATATTTTTTGCATATATATTTTAGCTGTGACTGTTACTGGTGTTAGCCAGCCTAATGGATCGAAAATATGTGCTGTGTTTGAAAATATCATTCTTTTCGTCCATTCGTATCTTGCATTTTTATAGTAAAATGGAAATTATTGGTGAATTTTATGCACGACAATGGAGTAGGCGGAAATACGACAGGAGAAATGTTTAGCAAATTACAACGAGTATTTAACATACTGCCTGAGGCGAAATTGACTTTAAATATAAAAAAATGAATATATCTAAATCGAGATATCGAGTTCCTAGGTCACATTGACTTCAGATGGCATTAGCCCTACTACAGCAAAAATTTAAGCTGTCGATAACTTTGCAAGGCCACAAAACCAAACGAAAGTACGACAATTTTTAGGTTTAAGTTGTTACTTTAGGAAATTTGTTCCAGGTTATGTGATCGTGAGTAAACCGTTACAACAACTTTTACATAAAGGCGTAAACTTTGAGTAGTATAACGAGCAAGAAAAATCATTCAATGAACTGAAATCAATATTAACGAAGAAGCCAGTTATGACTGCTTATCAATCGGATGCCGAGCATCAAGTACATACTGTTGCAAGCTCAATTGAGTTAGCAGGCGTGCTGTTACAAAATGAGAAGTACGAATGGAAACCGGTCGAGTACTATATCAGATTTATATCGATAGATGAACAAAAGTTCAACAGCTACGAGCTGGAAACATTAGCTGTAGTCAAAACACTGGAGAGATTGCGTTATTACGTATACGGTAATCATATCACGGTGGTGACAGACTTCAGTGCTTTATAAACAACGATGCAAAATCGCGGCTAATTCCATGAATAGCCACGTGGTGTTAACGTATACAAGATTTTGATATAAAAATAGAACATGAAAGTAAGAAACGAATGGAACACGTGGACACACTAAGCCGAAATCCTTTGTCAAATGCTTATGAAGGCGCCACAGCGGATATGCGTACGTTTAAGGTTCGACTAAACGAATACAACTGGTTGTTTGCGATTCAATTACAAGACGTAAACCCTTAGAAAATAGTGGCTGAGGTGCAAAGCGAGAATCTTCTTGAAAGAGATGGATATAAAATGCATAACGGTCGGCTGTATCGTATGGTTGATGATAAGCTTTTATGGGTCGTGTCAAAGCGTTTAAGACATTGAGTTCTTCGGGACTGTCATGATAGATCAGTACATATGAATGCTGAAAAGACGATAGTAGATGCTTTTGCGAAATTTACCGTACTAAAGCCAGTTAAAAGCACCGCGACAAAACACGTTCTTAGCGCACTAAATGAAGTTATAAGTTACTGTATAATGCCAACAAAAATAATTACCGATCGAGGGACTGCGATTACAGTGTAAGATTTCGAAAGGTTTTGTATAGAGAACCATATATTAAAAATGCAGGAAGAACTCCACGAGCAAATGCTCATGCCGAACGGACTAATCGAACAATATTATCGATGCCGTTACCAACGAATACGGTTGACAAACGATGGGACGAAAATACAACAACTTACCTAACTCCGAACGAACATAGCGACAGTACACCTCGGTGTATTCGTTCGATAAGATCAAGCGGTGGTACCAGTTACCTTACGAGGACGTAAGGTACCTTACGAGGACGTAAGGTAACATGATGGCGTTGCCGAATTGACGAACAAAGCAGGGTCGCTTTGAGTTGTCAGGATGCCGACTGTAAAGAACACGAAGATATATACACGAAAATGCTACTATACGGAGTTGACTTTGCGAAATGGCGGAATGCATAGCGTTTTATTTTATTATTGAGTAATAAAAACACATTGTAAACATTGAACTTCAAATTTTTACATTTCTACATTATCTTAACAATAATTACAATTTTAAAAGTTGAATAATGATATATATTTCCAAACAATAAATAATACGTTAAATAATTGAACTGTATTTAAATTATTATAATAAGATCCTAATTAAAAATTGATATATATTAGTATCCTACAAAGAGTATTGAAAGTTGAATCAATCACAGAATGATATATTTATTTAGCAGATAACAATAACAAGATAACAATATACTTAAAAATTCTGTCCACAATAATAATAGGTGTTTTCGACCACTTCATAGTGGAGCAAAAAATAAAATATCTCTTTCTACCGTCTTTAATTTGTATGCAAACCAAGAGCACTACTCTCTTTCTCTAAAACACTAGTTATGAAAGCTCTAATCATCTAAAAGACTGCAGAGAAAGATGTTACCAAACGCTAAACGATCTATTGTGAATATTTATTGAAACTTTTAGTGGAAAATCCATTAATTTGTCAAAAGTAATTTGTGAACAAAAATTCAAGCAAAATTTAAAGCTCACAAATTTAAAAATTGTCAAAAGTAAATATTCTAAAATTATATGAAAATTGTGGAAAATAAATATTTTTTTAATAAATATTTATATTTAAACTAGCTGACCCGGCGAATGTTGTTTCCCCTTGCAATTAATTTTCCTGGCTCAGCTGAGTTATAATATTTGTTGTTATTCAACTTAACCTTTAGCATTTTAATGCTAAAATTATTTTGAATTGATTTTTTCTTTAGAACTACAAAAAGTCCACATGCATTACTTATGTTACAAATATTTTCATGTTACTTCAAATCCTTATAAGCTCTACATTTTACATGAAAAAAGGTTTTTTTAATATTATATTAACAGTTTTATTATGGGCTATAATGTTAACTTAAAGCTAAATCATGAACAATATTTTTTGTTAGGCCATTTTGTACGTATATATATAGATCAGAAGGCTTAGCTTAAATTTTGAAATTGATTTCATCGACATCTAAGTTCTTGGCAGCCAGAATCGCTCTACTTTGAAGCATTTGATTGTTCTGATAATTTTGATATATGTTAGGAAATACATTTTCTATTAACTCCTCTTCCGAATTAACAATTTTATAAACATTTTCTGGCAATTTAATAAAGTGCGTATTTTCATGAAGACTTACGTTTCCGTTACCAATATTCAGCAATTGTTTGGCAAACAGTTCTGCAGCTAAATCGCTCTGTAGTCCAACACGCATGTTTTCGATAAGTCGCAATATATGGACACTTCGTCACAAAATGGATGATTTTAGGCAAGCATTGATTTTCAATTAAAGCGCCTCCAAAAAGTCTATAGTTGGCATTTAAATCTTTAAGTGTTCATTTAATGTTTCCAATGAATATTTATGTGACATTGTGCATTCATCCCAAATAATGATGTGACATTTTTGAAGTACTTGAGCCATACCTTTGCAAGAATAACTGAAATTAAGAAAGTTTTTTCAGTTCCACCTGGTGCATCCAAAAAAAAAGCCGCCTTCTTTTGCCGCAATTGCGTTCGAAACCCGATCATAAATGACCTTCTGTTGGTGTGTTAAGATTTTGTAACAAATTCAACCAAATCTTCAGAGCTATACTGAAATTCGCGCTGCATATCATTGTTTAATAGATCGGTTGCCAAACGATTTATAATGCGGAATTTAAATGCACTTAAGCTATGCAACGGCAGTTTTACGATTCATTTTAGAGATTTAAAACTTTTTAAACAAATCAAAGTAAGCATGAATAAATTTTAAATTTCTAATATAAAAGTATATGGATACCAAAAAATAAAAAATTAATTAAAAAGACATTATCCAGTGGCCCAAATTGTGAATCTAAACCTTCCTTGAATCCACTTGAACACACACAAAAAATTTCATCAAAATCGGTTCAGCCGTTTAGGAGGAGTTCACTGTCAACACACGTACAGAAGAATTATATTATTTAAATAATATTTAACTTTATACAAAGTTGCGTTTACTTTGAATTTGGCGCACATACGCAATTTTTATTAATTATAAAAACATAATATTTAACGGATTGCAACAGTGTTCCCAACATATCAGCAAGAGACTTTTGCAAGTGACTTGTTGTTTTTTGCGAATCTTTAAAGTGAGCGAATATACCTCAAATTTTGTATGAGAACAAATCAGCTGAGATCTTATGAAGCATGTGTAGCAAACTCAAACATAATGTTAATCACAATTGTAATACATTAGATTTTTGGTAGTCAAATGGAAAGTGATCTTTCTGTTTCTATAGCTATTTCACACGGAAAATCATATATCTAAATGAATGTATGAGATAGTGGTTCCAGATTGAATGTCTTTCACAATATCCAACAACAATAAAAAAACAATGATGTATATCGAATGAAATGCAAATAATAAGTTCCTAAAATGAGAGAAAACCAATAGATTTTTTTTATTGAATTCCTTTTTAACACATTTTTATCAAAGACTTTTATTTGTCTTTAGTTAATATATTGATCCATTAGATTTTAGGTATCTTGTACAGTCTGTGCAAGATGCAACAAGAACAAACTATCTATGTCGGAGCAATATATTTGCTACTTATTCAGCGTTGCCACATGTCTATGGAATTCAGATAAAAGCAGAAAATACTTAAAACTATGGAATTTGGCACTTAATCAGATTTAAATCTTGTCTTACTAGTGCAGGCGGTCTCTGCATGTGACATCAGACACAAACACTGCAAATGAGCTACTTGTAAGGAGCAAAGATTAGGAAGCAAGCAAAAGGCAAAACACAATGCGCAATTAAATTGACACTATATGCTCAGTCTATTAAATTTTCACAAATCAAATATGTCCAACGGCCCCACCCCTAATAAGTGATCGTCATTAAAAATACAACAACAACATGCGTAACTGTTAAATCTAACAGCTCGTTGTTAACTAAATTTGTGTGTCAACGTGAAACAAACAAAAACAGTGAAAAACCAAAAATAAAATAAAAAAAAATATTTATTTTAACCTTTTTTTGTCTTGTGTTCGACTTAAAACTGATTTGAATCTGAATTATACGTTGGTTCCAACGCTGACCTAGACATTTCTACTATTCTATGCAACTGTTGTCACAATATCAAAATTATAAGTAAAACTGAAACGCAGTGCAACAACAAACAATAACAAATTCAGTAACGAGAACAATAACAAAAATAAATAGCTGTAAAAAATAGAATAAATAAAAAAAAGAAAAAGTAGCGAAAAGCCCATGAAAATCTCAATAATAAGAATGCAAAAAGTAAAACGTAAAATGAAAAATCGCAGTAACGGCATTGTGCTGCCACCACTGCTTTTGTGTCACACAAATTGAAATTAATGACCAACATGAATGCATAACTTTGCATACTTCTGGAGGCACTATGAGGCTACTCATAAGTCTACGGTTTCTCTCCGCTGGCTACATAGCGTTAGCCAGCCACATTGCTGGCTGGTCTTGTTTTTTTTTGTTTATTTTGTTTAGTTTCCTATATCTCTACCAATTCTTATGTGGCTATATTACATTTCATTTTTGTTGTTGTGCTTATTTTTAGTTGATGTGTTGTGTTTGTAAGTGACTTGGATGCGCTCGGCTTTTGTTTGTACAAAGCTGAGCGCATTGTATTGAATTTGTACAAAGCATTCTATAGACAAAGCATGGGTCACTTTACCAGCGGCACCATTATGCCAGCGCTGAAAAAGTAAGCGACGAGATAATAGCTCTTCGTTTTTATTTTTCTTTGTTTTCGACATTTGTGTTCGACTCAGGCAATTTCGGGGTTGAAATTATAAAAGAATGAAGAAGAAAAGAATTTGAATATAAATAATTTCTTGTTTTATCTGCATTGTATACATTTAGTCTGCTTTTGATTTTAGTAAAGTGCGTAATACTAGTGAACAATTGAAAATCAAATCAAAATAAAATAAAAAATATATGTAAATAAAATATAATTTGTGAATTTATAATAAACTAACTGTAAGTATATGCAAAATGAAGTAAATATATTTAAAATGATAATTGTAATTTTTGTTTTGTATTATATAGATGCATACTGTAAGACATTATAAATGTTTGGTGAAAAAGAAAAAGGAGGAATTTTTATCGTTTAAAAAAGAAGGTATAAATGAAACAGGGAATTTAAATCGTGCATTTATTAAAATATTTTATTTTTTTATAGAAAATGATTTTCAAAATTTTAGTTCGAAAACAACACCTTCCTGCAGTACAGCTGAACATATTAATAGTGATATTAATAAGTTAATATTTAAATAAATTAATATAAAAATATGTTAATAATTTAATCTATAAATAAGATAATATTTTAATAAATTATCATGTAAATAATTATATATAAATAATTTAAAATGTAAATAAGTTAATATGTTATGTAAATATGTTATATTCTTTTATGTAAATATTAATACTTTAATTTTATAAACCATAAACATAAAATATACTTTATCCCAAAAAATTTTTAGTATTTTATTTAAAAATCAATAGCAGAGGTAAAATTGAAAAGGTAGGCGAACATGTCAGCGCTGAAATGTTGCATTACAAATTCGAAAAGGTAAGCAAGCATGTCAGCGCTGAAATGTTACATTACAAATTTGAAAAGGTAATCGAACGGTTCAGCGCTTGCCTGCAATTATATGCACGTGTTAAAGTAATTAGGAGTTTCCCTTGAATAATCAGCGCAAGGCATTACCATTCAGCGCTGAAGCAATCGAATACCTCAGCGCTGAAAGTCCCGCTGGGAAGTGACTTAGTTGCTTGAACGAACGTATGTGTGCGAAACCACAAATATTGTATTGTGTTTACGTAGGATAACATATGCATTTGCTAATAACGAAAGAAGAAAAATATAACAAGTTAAAAGCAAAACCTAACACAAAAATATGCTTATCACACACGAGTCTGTGTCTTATGATGGCGACCAATTACAACAACTACAATGGTTTATATGCTTTGCTGTAAGCATCACAGCGCCTACTGCTGCGCTATAAGTGAAGTGCACTTTTGTTGAATCACCACTGTTGCTCAAAAGCAAAAACAATTACAATAACAAAAACGACTGCTAAACATGATAACAAAGAATAAAGAAAATTATTTTGTCTTTGTTGAGTTACTCGGAAGTTTATGTTGTGTCAGTTATTTTCTATTCTATTTCTGTTGGCATTTTAAGAATTTTTCAACCCAAAACAATCATCGTGCTTAGCTGTTCACCATTATTTCCAACCAAAAAACGAAAACGAAATCGAGAAGCATTATCATTAGGTCCATTGTCTACTGTGCTATGCTGAGTGTATGCGCGCGCGTATAAACCCAGTCAGCATTTAGACGATTCATTTATCGCCAATCGTCAAAATGCGTCGCTTATGACTCGCCTTGACGATGGTTAAGCGATTGTTCTCTCAAAATTACTAATTTGCTCTCTTTGTTTTTTCTGTAATATAATATTTACATATGTCGCTTTTGTTTCTTTATTCTTGAAGTGCAATTGAAGTGTTACAGTTCTGTCGTGAGATTTTAATAAATATATTTAAATAACTACATTTTAATAAAATAATTTTAGTTAAATAATTTTTATAAATATATACCTATAGATAAGTAATATTTTGATATCTTATTATTCAAAGTTAATAACTTTAAATATATAATGTACTAAATACAATGAAATGTGTCTTTAATAAAATAACTAGCATAATGTCTGCTTTAAGAAAAGCAACTAAAAGAGAAGCACGCAATATTATGTCGAGCATATTTGAATTAAAAAAAAAGAAGGCATGTGATAATAAAAATTCAGAAAAAGTTCAAAAAAATCAACTTAGTGATGTTGTTGAAAATATATATACCAAGTGCTTGTAGACTTTTGATCGCTCGTTTTGCTACTCTTTATGATAAAAGTACCGTTATTTCGGTTGTTTTTGGAACATATGCAAAGAAACTTCGCGAAAACATTGTGCATTAAATGTTTTAAAAAAACAATAATGTATGTTTCCATTAACTGTATATTAAAATTTAGTAATATTGTTTTCAGTAATTTTAATAAACCAACAATTTTAATTTCAACTTCTTTTAAATTTTATTTTCGCTGCTTCTTTTCTATCTCTTTCGAGTAGCGGAGTAACTCTACTCTGTGATATATACAGGAGTAATTTAACGCGCTTCTAAGCGATGCATACAGAAGAGTAATTTATTACGCTTCAAAGCGA